CATTGATGGAACTACAAGCATCCAAGTCCAAGTGTAAGAGAGGTTGGATAATGCCTAAATTTGAACACAATACTTGTAATGACCAAAGCTCCAAAACAAACTTGCAAGCAATCATCAATAAGGAGCAAACGAAGAATGTATTGACATATGCATAAGTGATAATGCAAAACTTTCAATTGTCACTTAAACCAGTTGACAAATGTTAATGATCGATAATGTTAAGTTCATCATGTTTATGTACACATTGCAATCCATCTTGGACGATAAGGAGCTTTCAGGTATAATTTGATTATGGGAGGATACATTAAGTGAAATGCAAATTTCCATGTGACAATAATATCGAGGTCATTATCCCCATCATGAATCAACTAGCGACGTGATGAAGTTGTATTACCCATAGAGAGCTGTTTGGAGGTAGTAATAAGAGATACACAACTAGCATGTATATAAAAAGTACATCATGCCTATAAGCGAACAGAAGAAGCTTCCATGAAGGAGAATTGGATCATCATCAATAGCAACCAACGGGTGGACTAATGCTTCAACTCAATGCCACTCAACCACTTATGAGTATACTAAACATTTGTAAGTGGTGATAATGAATGCATACATATACTTACAATGCTATTTACAAGCAGTTATGGAAATCTCATCATAAATACATGCAAAGTATTTATGGATGGTAATTAAAAATCTAAGAGATGGAAGGTGATAAGCATGCATGTCACAATGTCTCCGTAGTCAACTGTCACTCAACATCAAAACATAAACAAATGTATTTGAGATTACAAGTCATGAAAATGAAATGGATATTCATGAGTTAAACATGAAGAGCATGTAATGAACTACAATATATGTTTCATATCACATAAAAAAAAGGACAATATATTATCAAGTATTGGAGCTCCTACGAGATACTATAGAAGATCCCTATGCATCCAATATACTATCCAAGAATAAAATACAACATAATCACATCAAATGCAAATGCCTACGATTGGCATTAAAAGATCTACAATATCTCTTTATAAAGATAAATGCGCGTGCCATATGCCACTAATGGATAGATGCATAAAATCTTTAGTAAATGCAATATCATGTTGTTAATTCTGATTTATGAATGCATACATCTACCTACAGTAGTAGGGGAGGTTTTGTGAGGGAAAAAATCATAGCAAAATGCATAAAGAATGCGATAAATGTAAGCTCCTACGAGCTATTATATGAGATATGTTCTACACCTAAGATGTTGTTACAAGCAAAGTATGAAGTGACTACATCAAATGCAGATTTATACAGGCTGTTACAGAAGACTTTTTTAAATATTTCAAAAGGCCCCTTGTAAATGCACTATAGTTTGTATACACATAGGTACACAAAAGGAGCAAGTGCAATCATAACACCCGTATGGGCCCTGGCGAGCGTGTTTGAGGAACACACATGACGTCTAAGGATGCTGCACGGGTCAATAAATTCGATCCTGATCCTCTTAAGCAGTTAAATAGGAGTTGAAAATGTTCATTAAATAACTATAAAATGCCCCCGAAACACCCGCATGGGCCCTAGTGAGTGTGTTGTAGGAATACACGTGACGTCTAGGGATACTGCGCATGTGAGTAAATAAACCCAAGTTTGAGCCTGATCCTTTTATGTAGGTAGGTAGAAGTCGACAGGGCTCAAACCATTAAATAAATATACGATCATGAGGCCGACCGAGATACTTATTTTATACATTCATATTAGGCCTTCATGGCCTTCAAAAAAATTCAGAAATAAAGGTATAAAGCCTATGAAACTTGATCCTCTGTTGATAGTTCGACAAAGTTGACAAGGTTCATCCACAAATGAAAATGACCTCAAAGTCACCCGATGATGGCCGTGTTGAACGAAAATCTCAATCGGAAGGGTTCACAATTATTTTCAAATATCATTCAAATATCCAAACATCTCAAAATTCAAAATCCAAATATTTAAAATTGAAACAACATTTTCAAGCACTTAAGGCAGAATCCATCCACCCTCCGCAACAGTTTGTTGAGATGTATAAATTGAAATTTACTTTAGTTCACAAAGAGCTAATGCCTAGTCAAAAATATCACTATGATCCATTCTCAACCAATCTCTTGCCAATAAGAATGTGGTATGTGTCCTCTGACCGACAGTTTTGTCACCAAATTGCACCACATGATAAACGGTTATGACCTGGGCCCTTTGAACCGAGTGGTTTTGCCACCAAATGGCACCATAAAATATCGCTTATGGCCAGAGCCAATATGTTCTTTAGTGGCATTAAATCCTTGAGATATGAATTAATAGGATATGATTGATAGGGCACGAAGCCCTCTGTTAGCTAAGGTGGATTTAGATTTTTCCCCTTTGGTAAATACTCACCCCAGGTGTATGAGGTACCCTTGGATGAAGCAACCCATGACTACCGACAAGGAGACAAGGGACAATGATGTCCCGAGATGACAGAACCATGGGATCTTGATCGGGTCCATCATCCATTCTCCCACCATCCACTTTAAGTGCAAGGTGGTGAAAATTTCTATTTTAATATGAAACCTTAAACTTCTAACATCCAAACCCTTCAAATTTCCAAATTCTTAACCCGTGCTGCTACTATATGCCAGATAACACATATTTATATGTATCTGATTAACGACTAGCCTTAATCAAAACTTCTCTCTCATTATCAGAAGGGGTAATTAACTATAGGGGCTTGCGCCTATAGTAAACCAGAACTTAGATCATAAAGTCCTCGCAAAATGAGGGCAAAAACTTTGAGTTGTCTTATCTACAAACCCATCTGCCTTCCAAAATTTACCCCGGAACTTAAATCCGTTAAAACTCCCTCGCCGAAGAAAAAGCAAACAGTGTGGGTGGAGGCCGAGGCCGAATTTTTGGAGCCCACAGTAAGGAACTTCAAGCATACCTAATCAGTTCGTAGGCCTAGATTGGGTTAGAGTTGGTTGTCCTAGCAAACTATCTTAGTGTGTGTATAAAGGCTATCTGGCTTGGATAGGTCATAGGTTTTAATAGTTTAAAATTTTCTAAAATTGATCTAGTTTGTTTAAGATTTGAAAGGGTGGTTTAAATTTAAGTATTTAATGATTTATATATTTTAAATTTAATCTTAAATAGGATTTTATTTATTATAATTATTAATTTTAGATTTTACTAAACATAAGGCTTAATAACTTCTAAGTATCTGAAGCCATTGAATAATAATTCCTATGCTCATATTTGTAATGTTACAAATCTTTCAAAATTAAGGAAGATGGATAACATAGATACCTTCATTTTAATTGAATGTTTTAGTCCTTATTGCTTTGAATCCAATACATAGTTGCTCTTCTAAAATGAATCAATTAAGCATAAGGATATAGAAGCTATACTGTCTACGTATTTATTTAAATGATCTTTTGATAAATTAGTTTATTATTATAGATTTATTAAGATTATAAATTATGGAGAAAAACCCAGATAGAGCTCTACTAGGGTTTCTCACCCGCCGTTTTGCTCCCGTCTGTTTTTCTCTTGCGTCTCCCTCTCCTCCGGCTGCTGCCGGAGGCTTCTCCCCTCATCTACTCCCCATTTTCTCTCATGGAAGCTCTCTCTTCCATGGATTTTCCCCCGCTTACCTTGCATGCAGGAGGTCCTTCCTCTGCGCTGCCCTCCCGTAACTGGAAAAATATTGTGGTTGATGCTGAACCCGTGTCCAAGGATTTACCGCTCTCTTTTCTTCTGCTTGAACCCGACATCATTCCTTTTGCTGGTGAAAGGCTTGTTAAAGGTGCAGAAAACTGGAATCTCTACCTGGTGGGTTATTCTATTTGCAGGCGACCATACTATGAAGCTCTCCTAGGTGCTATTCATAAAACTTGGACTTTAAAAGGTTCGATGCAACTCTTATCTCTTACGGGTGGATTTTTTCTGTTACGTTTTACTACAACTGAAGATTTTGAAATGGATTGGTCTAAGGGGGTGTGGTTCTTCTTGGGTTGGCCTTTTCTCCTTCAGAAATGGTCTCCTAAATTCCGCCCCAAACGAGAAAATTTCACCTCCATACTCATTTGGGTTAAAATGCATGACCTACCCTTAGTGTGTTGGAACTCTGAAGGAATTTCCCGTATTGCCAGTAAGATTGGAATTCTGCTCGCCGTTTATGCTCTTACCGCACAGCGTACACATCTCACCTTTGCCCGGGTTTGTATTCAAGTTAATGCTGAAGCAACTTATCCTGAAGAAATACCGATTTTGATTGAAGAAGATGTCTTTAGCTTGAAAATCCAATATGAGTGGAAGCCTACACCTTGTGAGCACTGCAAATCCCTTGTCCATTCCTCTTCGGTTTGCCCTTCTAAACCGGAGACTACTCTTACGACCATTCCTGCAGTTCTTCCGCCGACCAATACTGCTCGGGGTAGAAGCAAGAGTAGAAGGCCTCAAGGAAGAAACTTACCTATTTCTTCTATTATTCCTCCTTCTCTTATTCCTTCTTCTGTTATTCAAGCTAGGCAACACACTATCTCACAGCCTAATCCCACAGCTACTTTGAATACCCCCGATGAGTAGGCTGCCCTGCTTCCCCCAAAGCAATTGCTACCTCCGCAGATACAAAATTCCAAGCCTCAGAACTTGCCAGTTGCTTCTGATAATACTCCAACTACCATAATTCCACATAATGACCCACCAGTTTCCAATATTCCAAATTTAAATTCCCCACACGACATCGCCACATCATCTTCTTCTTCATCACTACCCAAATACAGACCTCCATCACCAAAAGTTAAATCCCCCAACAAATTTGATGCTTTGAATTTGCTAGAGGAGGATCCGAGTATTTTTTATGATGTTTCTAATCAGAACTCTGATCAATTCCCTCCGTTCAAAGGAAAAGAAAAGGATAAGGAGTCGGCGCAAAAGCAATCGGGAAAATCAGGGAAAAATGCTAAGGGGAAGCAAGCCAAAAAGGCCTCCACCCAATCAAGATAGTTATGTCTGTTCCTAACATTGCCTGCTGGAATATTAGAGGTTTTAATAGTCCAGACAAGGTTTTTTGCTGCAAGCACTTGGCTTCTTCCTTTAGACTTGACATGCTCTGTTTGTTGGAAAATAGGATTCAAGCTTCTTCTCTTCTGAATCCTTTCTTCTCAGAATCTCACGTGATCTTCCCTTCTGAAGACTCCTGTCATAATTTCAACATGACTGCTCCTGGTAGGATATGGATTAAGTGGAACTCTTATACTCTTAATTTTACTCCTACTACCATCTCTCCTCAACTTATATCGGGTATTGTGGATAGAGCTGGTTAACCTTATTTTACTTTGACTGTCATTTATGCTGAAAATGATAGAGAGAGCAAATCCTCTCTCTGGGATATGCTTAGAATATGTGTTTCCTCTCAAACTACTCCCTGGATCTTCATGGGAGACTTCAACTACTGTAGGTTTGCTTCTGATAAATTGTGTGGCAATCCCCTATCCCACCGCCAGCTGGGAGAACTGAACTCTATTATTTTTTATGCCAAACTTGCAGAATTACCCTCTGTTGGTAATGTCTACACTTGGTTTAATCAGCGTCAAAGCAACCCTATACACATTAAGTTAGACAGAGTTTTGACTAATGATATGTGGGATTCAACTTTTCCTAACTCCTACTATTTTGTGCAAGCTCCTTCTTGCTCAGATCATTGCCCCTTAATCCTTCACTCCTCTGATGCTGTCTCCCGATACCACAGATTTCTTTTCAAGAACTTCTGTACTCCACTTGATGGTTATTGGTTTATCTTGTTGGAGGTTTTTTCTGCTCAGCCTATTGGTAATCCTATGGCTGATTTTTGCTCCAAACTTAGGCATCTTAAAAGCCGTATCAAACTTGAATCCTGGACTAATTCCAATGCCATTCAAGATCAGCTAGACTCTTTGCACTGCATACAACTTAAATGTCTTGAGCAGATTAATCTGGATCCTCATAATGATGATTTGATTAGGCATCTGAAGAGCATCAACCACAATATATCTAAAACCTCCTCTCTTCATTCTTCTTGGATCATCCAGCGGGCTAAGGCCTCGTGGCCTTCTCAGGGAGAAGACAACCTTAAGTTTCTGTATGCAAAAATTAGGCGCAGAAAGGTTTACAGTAATGCTGCTATTAATCTGGGAACTTCTTCTAATCTCTCTAGGAATGATGCAATTTCTGATATCATTAATCATTTTCATAAGCTTTTTAATCCTCCCCTTATTAAGGATTTGAACATGGACCTTTTTCCATCTGGTAACACTCTTCAACCCCTTCTTGCCGATTCTCTTATTTTCCCTATTACTGATGATGAAATTAGGCAATGTGTTTTTGATGGTGCTGCTTCCTCCTCCCTGGGTCCTGATGGTTTCAATTACCACTTCTACAAACGTAGCTGGCACATTATTGGTCCTTGGGTTTGTGAGGTTGTTAAATTTTTTTTGGTAAATGGTACTCTTGCTCCTGGCATCAAAGCTACGGCTTTAGCTCTCATTCCCAAGTCCAAGCATGCATCCTCTTTTGCTCATTTTAGGCCTATTGCTCTTTGTAATGTGATTTACAAGATTGTCTCCAAAATTCTGGCTTCTAGGCTTAAGCCCATCATACCTTTAATTGTCAAGGAGACTCAATCTGGGTTTATTAATGGCAGAATCTCCACCGATAACATTATTTTGGCACAAGAACTTCTCTCTTTTGCTAAAACTAGGAAGAAAAACATTTTTTGTGCTAAGTATGATATCCGTAAGGCGTTTGATACGGTTTCAAGGGAATTTGTTCTGGCTAGACTTGTTCAGAAAGGTATTCCCCCCTTATTTGTCTCCTGGATTAAGGCTTGCATCTCTGACGTAAATTTCTCTATTATGATCAAAGGGGCTCTTGAGGGATACTTTCCATCCTCGGTTGGGTGAAGGCAGGGATGTCCGTTAAGCCCGTATCTCTTCTGTATTGTGATGGATGCATTCTCCTCTCTTATTGACCATCTGCCTTTTGTGGGAATCACTTATGGTAACTTTAAGATTAGTCATCTTCTTTATGCTGATGATTTACTTGTTTTTGGCAAAGCTAGTCTCAACAACTATAGGCACCTAAAGAAAATTATTAACTGTTTCTCTAATGCCTCTGGCCTGCATATGAACCTTGATAAAAGCTCCCTCATGCTTCCCAAACACTTTGTGAATGTGGATATGATATGTTGGGCTCTTAGCTTGGCTCCCAAAGATATCACTACATATCTTGGTATTCCTATATCTTTCAAGAGGCTTAAAATCTCTGATTTCTCTCCTCTCATGGAAGAAATTACTAAAAATCTTTCTGGATGGAATGCTAATCTGTTATCATTGGCTGGTAGATTGCAGTATCTCAAATTCACTATGTTAAACTCCATAGCCTATTGGATTCGGGGAGCTATATTACCAAAGGCTGTTATGATATTTTTTAAAAAAGTTGCTTCTATGTTCTTTTTTTTTGGAGATATAACTGCTACTAATAAGCTGCATTTGGTAGCATGGGATACTGTCTATAAGCCAAAAGATAAGGGGGAGCATGAAATAATTCTGCTAGAAATCCACTAGAATTTATTGTATAAGAATCATAGTTAACTTTTATAATTAAAAAATATTATTTTTTTTCGTTCAATTTTGAGCATGTTTGATTAGTTTCACCTATATATGGCTTGAAATCAGATCAAAAATAGTCTTATCCCGATATTTAGGCTTCGTTTGGGACAGCTATCTTCTTTCTTCTTGTTGCGTCCTGGAGTATTCACGGCGGTAGAGAAAATATATAGTTTAACGTCTTAGCATTATACGAAGATCCAGCACACAATCAGATAAGAGAGAGGGTGTAGCATTCATAAGACTGATACTAAGGCTACTAAAATGTGGAAAAGCATATGCTTAACAGCTCAATCCACTAAAGCCAACTGGATTCTTAACATTACACCTACCTCCCAATTCTCTTTTGTTTGGGATTACTGGTGCAACAACAATCGTATTGTGGAACTTCATCCTAATGGTCTCAATTTTGGTAAGCACGTTGTTAGCAATTTCATTGCGGATGGGGTATGGCAATTTCCTCCTGGCATGCCTACTGATTTGGTGAACTTAATTGTTAATGTCAGTATTACTGATAACCAAGCTCCTTGCTTGATATGGAATGGTAACCCCAAAGCAAAATTCTCTGATTTTGTTAAAGAATTTTACCAAACCTTGCCCCTTTGCGCTTGGTCCGGATACGTGTGGCACAAAAGGCACATTTTGAGATATTCTGTATTTACCTGGCTTACTATTGTGGGAGGCCTCAAAACTGCTTGGGAACTCAACAAAAGAAACATTGGTGTGGATCTTAAATGTTCTTTCTGTCAAAGCTATCCTGAAAGTTCTGCACACTTATTTTTTGACTGCTCTTTCACCCACTCTATTATTACATCTCTTGTGCCGGAATGCAATGTCATTTTGCTTAGGCCTAATCTGCTGCAGCTTTTTGACTGGGTTACTGATTACCCCAATTTCTCTTCGCATACTAAGAGAATTTATGTTCTTACTATATGCTGCACTATCTACTATGTTTGGCGTGAAAGAAATGATAGGAGATTTGCCTTGGCTAACTCTTCTACTAATTCAATTTGTCTGAGGATTAAACAAGCCATTCATGCTAAGACTGTTAACTGGAGAGATAGATAATGTATGCTGTTTTATCTGCATGGCTTGGTCGGTCTGTTTTTCACTGTTTTGGATGCTGCTTTTGGCCTTGGTCTTTTGGCTGCTGGATGCGTATTTTGTTGGATCTGGGGGCAATGATGTCCAATTGCCCTGCCTTTTTCCCTGGAGGGTAGACGACTGCAACCAATTCTTTTATGGAGGGCACTGCCTGCAACCGGAATTTTACTCTGGCTTCGGCAATTGATTTTGTTTATGAGCCCAACTACTTCAGTATCCAACTTTCTTTTTTAGTTTTGACATGTGTTAAATTTTGGTTCTTTTTGGTGAATTATTTCACCTAGTTTTCTTATCTTTTATTACACATGTAACTAGTTTTTAATCTATGAAATGGGCTTTCTGCCCCTAATTTTCCCAAAAAAAAAAAAAAAACATTGAAACCCATCAAACTTGGCTTGTTTGTACATCCACGGTCATGTCACAAAACTCTTCAAGCTTCATACACTCTTGACAAAATAATGATTAGCGTGAGTATATATAGAAAGAGAGAGAGAGAATGAATGTGATAATCCCATATAAAAAGAAGATATTTTTTCATAGTATTTCACTGATTCTCATGCTCACACATATATGGAGCGATTGGGCTATTGTCATCTTTATTTTTGCAGGAAGATGGTGCTGAATGGGAATATTATGATCTACTTTTTTTGGGTGCTGTCTACTCACAATCCGAGTCCTTTTTTATGCACTTTTTGTAATATTAGAACAAAGAACCACCGGCTATATATATATCTCTGATAAGTTAATGAGCCAATCATAAAAGAAATTTGTTACTCTTTTGTTTAATAAGTCAAGCTGAATAACATTGAAACCCATCAAACTTGGCTTGTTTGTACATCCACGGTCATGTCACAAAACTCTTCAAGCTTCATACACTCTTGACAAAATAATGATTAGCGTGAGTATATATAGAAAGAGAGAGAGAGAATGAATGTGATAATCCCATATAAAAAGGAGATATTTTTTCATAGTATTTCACTGATTCTCATGCTCACACATATATGGAGCGATTGGGCTCAAAGTATACCCGCCGGAAAAAGATTCCCGGTGTTTATTTACTATGCGGTTTTTTCCGGCGGTGCTCTAACCGTTAGAAAACTGTCTAAGTGGAATAATCCACCAAAAATTTCCGCTGTTAGTAGATGATTTTCCTGTAGTGGTATTTCAAGAAATTATTACATGTTGAGTGACGGTCATGTCACTGTATACAGTGTGTGTACAAAATTGTACACAGGCTATGTACATATAGCATGACCTATTTTGATTGGAGTTCAGATACAAGCTGCGTCTGAACTCCGCACGTAATAATTTCTCGGCCATTTCTCCCCTTCTCATTACTCAGAAGTGAATTGTGTTCCGAGGTGGCAAAAAATCCTTCATTAATACAAAGGTAAATATAGAGACCTTTGGAGCTACAAGATCATAGGAGTCTTCGCCAACATGAGTGGCATTGATGCATCTTCAAATAATTGTTCCAATTGCTCCACGTAACTCTCTTCCTAGCTATCACTACCAGATTGGCAAGACAGTACGGGAAGACCACTTATATATATATATATATATATATATA